TGCGATAATGGTATTACATTATGTGTAATTATTCATGTATTTACAATATATGAATATGTGTACTTGTTGAACTATCTCTTATTATGGCGCTAACTACAATAAAAGCTTTAACGAAAATTATCATTCCCAAAATAATAATAATAAAGAAAAATATTCGAAACGTTTTTCTTAAGAAAATGACATCAAATAAAAACTTTAAAACATAACTTGTACTCAATGTCGAAAAGATCTCGAAGATATTATTTAAAAGGACAATTATATTTAAATTTCACACAGCTTCGGTGTAATACGTTTTACTCTTTATGTTATTTCTAAGTATCCACGTTTATTTGCCGTTAAAATCTAAACATGCGATGTACAATTGTATACATAATGAAATGGCAATTGTTAGAATACGACTAGATTTGAAAATATTAAAAAATTCTATTTTCAAAAATGTTCAGAAAATTAAAAAACAAGATATTTTTAATATGTATCCTTATCTAACAGAAAATTTTAAAAATGCTATATTTTTAATATTAATTATTACAACTGTTTCTTTCTTGTATATTCGTCATTCTTCTCTTAAAAAAAAAAAACCGTAAAATCTAATTTTGAAAAAAAAAAATGGTTTCTTGTTTTTCCACGGAACACTTCATTTCTTAGAATTCGTTAAAATTGTTCATCTTACATCAACAGATATTGTACGGCCTTACCGTACACAGCTGAATACTTTCAAAAAGCTACTGGTGCACGACTGTATCGGTTTACTGTTACGATTCTCGAAAAATCTGTCATAATGGTCATTCCTCTCGTGTTCAAGTACACGTGCGCTACGACGATATTTAATATGTTATTAAACGAAAAGGTATTATTACATAAGAAACAATCATTTCATGGAATACATTGTACTATAAGTTTCCATCCAAATACACACTACAAGTGTTTACGATTCGCCGAATTAAAAAGAGACAACGAGCAAATTCACATTTCATTAAATAAATTATTATTATTTATTACTTGTACGCTGTATTTCTTGTGGAGATTCAAATTTTTTATTTTAAATCAAAAATTAAAGCTCAGTGATGTGATTATTAATCATAGCACTTAATATATATATATACTTAAAATTAAAATTGTCTTATGTTAATGAACCACTGGTTTTGAAAGTATACATAACAAATGATTAAAAAATTGGTTTAGTTTAACGGATATATAATATTCGTTTAAAATTTAAACTTAAACAATTACGTATTATTATTACTCGGAGTTATAATAGCTTATTTTCATTAAATGATTCTTTTTTATAGTATTTGATATAAAACAAATGAAATAATACTTGTATACTTTGTGAAAAATAACACTAAATGTGTTAAGCAAGAGTAGTCTCAAAAGCAAAGTTACTTATACAATTTTTGTTTCTGCATTATATACAGGGTGGCCCACCACTCACTGACAACTTAAATAACTTTTGATCCAGTTAATATTTTCAGCTGATTTCTTTTTTAAATATTAGTTAGACGTTAGATCTATAGCTATATCTTAATAATTAATTTTTTTACATTTTATTAAAAATATTAATTATTTTTAAATTTTAAATAAAATGTAAAAAAAAAATTAAGATAGCTATTTTGTAGAGTAGAATTTAAGAAAAATTTTAGTAAAAAAATATCTTATTAATATTCAGTAGTAAATATTCTGTAGCGTTTTGAAGTTTGTGAAAATTTGAATTTTCATGTACTATTTTACGGTATTAAACATTGAAATACGTATTGAGAAAAGGACAGAAGAAAACGCTATCTTTTCAATATACTTTTGAATGAGAGTGATAAGTAATAATTGCCTTATCTAATTTCTTATCATGGTATTAATGCCAAGTTTGTAATGTATACACATTATCATCATATGTATACACAGTAATCATGAAAAGATAGCGTTTTCTTCTGTCCTTTTCTCAATACGTATTTCAATGTTTAATACCGTAAAATAGTACATGAAAATTCAAATTTTCACAAACTTCAAAACGCTACAGAATATTTACTACTGAATATTAATAAAATATTTTTTTACTAAAATTTTTCTTAAATTCTACTCTACAAAATAGCTATCTTAGATTTTTTTTTTACATTTTATTTAAAATTTAAAAATAATTAATATTTTTAATAAAATGTAAAAAAAATAATTATTGAGATATAGCTATAAACCTAGCGTATAACTATTATTTAAAAAAAAAATCAACTAAAAATATTTACTGAATCAAAAGTTATTTAAGTTGTCAGTGAATGGTGGGCCACCCTGTATTATTATTACTGTATTTTAATCTTAATTGTTATGAGTTTTTATATCATATTTTTATTTTATTCAATTGTTATTTTTAGTTAAAAATTATTTAGCTTTAAGTTCGTTGTTTGAATTGAATAAATTTTGATGAGTACTATTGCAACATTGTTATTTCAACTATTTATTGTTGTTCTAGAGGCTTATGTCTAAGTCGTATATATATATACCTTTTTTTATGTAAACCGATTCATGAGTCTGAAAAGGTAAAAAAAAGGTATAATAACAGTTATTCAAAGTTAATTTTTTTTTTAGTAAATCCCTTTGTTTGTTTGAAGTTAAAACATTAAATCAAACAAATTTTTAAATTATTTTTTTCTAATGCCAATTTTAATCATACATATAATGTTCATATACTAATAAAATATCGACCACGCATTACCGTTTAAAAAATACTCGAAATGATAGTTCAGCTTAGGATTTAGCTCTCAGAGTAAACTTAATACGAAATGTATTATAATAATTGTAATCAATACAATACATTATGTATTAAGCTATAACAAGGAAGATGAGATATACGCCGTAACATCTTTGAGCATATATAAAAGCAACTATTTTAACGTTATTCCGATAAATATAACAATTGATTTTCTTAAAGAATGGCTAAAGGAACAAAACATAGAAAAGGATAAAATAAATGAGCTTATTAATTTAACAAAGTTATGTATGAATCAAAATATTTTTCAATTTCAAAATAAATTTTATGAGTAAACTGAGGGCACAGCAATGGGATGAAAACTATCACCATTTTTAACAGAACTTTTCATGAGTAGGTTTGAAATAAATTTAAAACACGCTTATGGTGATTTTCCAAAAATTTGGGTTAGGTATGTAGATGATATTTTTGTAGTTATAAATAAAGATTTCAATATGGAGGTTTTCATACAACATTTAAATTATTTTTACCCATCGATTAAATTCACATATGAACAAGAAGTAGAGGGAAAATTGCTTTTTTTGGATTTATCAGTTAAAAGAGCAGAGAGGCGACTAAATTTTGAAATTTATCGCAAAGACACGCACACTTTCAGATACATTCCGAACACATCGAACCACACCTGGCAACACAAATTGGTAGCTTTTAATAGTATAGTTTAAAGATTAATTAATATTCCGATGAATAAAATAGATTTTGATAAAGAACTGGTGGTTATAAAAGAAATAGCTAGATTAAACGGGTATAATGAAAACATCATTTCAAAATTAGTCCGAACACAAAAGTGGAATAAAGAAAGGAGGGCGGCTAGTACACTCACTTGCGTGGGGGAACAAAAAGTAATTAGATCACCAATTTTATATTATCCGGGCATCTCAAATGGAGTAGTTAGAATATTTAAGAAATTTGGTATTACTTTAGTAACATCTAAGAGTATTAATTTAAGAGATTTATTAAGTAACTTTAAAGATAAGGTAGAAGAATGTAAGAAATGTAAGAAACATTAAAAAGCAAGAAGTTGAGAATCTCCAGTGGCTGAACATTTATTGACACATAATCACTCCATTAAAACCATAAAACTAATTAAAACCGTAAATAATTACAAAGAACTTAATATTAGGGAGGCAATAGAAATGTTTATAAATAAAAATAATTTAATTAATTGGGATCTTAGCCCACTGAAAAATTCATTATTAAACTTGTTTAAACTGGCAAAATGTGATAATATTACTTAGTGATGACGTCACTAGGTGATAAGGTCACTAGGGGTATATAAAGTAGTTTTTTCTAGTCGGGGTGTCAATATGTGCCGCCCTGAAGTAATACCTAACGGTAGTTCCAGGGCGGCCTACAACTAGGCCGGTCGTGTAATAATAATAAAAAAAAAAAGGGGTGTCAATATGTGTTTAGCGTTGGTAACATTGTTTCCGAAATACGAATCCGCGACTTTTCAGTAACTTTTTTTGTGGCTTTTGAGTTTAATATTTTTTAGTTTTTTAAATTAATAATATTTTTAATATAGTTTTAATTTTATTTAATTAAATAATAATTAATTTATACTCCTTAATTATTTGAGTATAGGTAATAAATTTATTTTAACATTTTGCCCTTTAAATATTTTTATATAAGCAATAATAAATTAGTTATATAACTTTTGCTCCTTGAATATTTGAGTACAGGCAATATAGAATTAAAATAATTATTATTTATTGCCTAGCTTTAAATTTTTAAGGAGTCAATTTATGAAATATTTATATTGCCTATATATCAGTGGCCAAGGATTAAAAATTAAAAAATTATATACAGATCGATTGTTTTTGGGTAAGACGCTTATATTCTTTATGGAAAAATTATTATAATAATAGGAATAGATTATGTGCATCTGATACGAAATAATAAAATTTTAATTTTGAAATATTTACATTAAACACCCTTACAATTCCAAGACATTAACACAAAATACTTATCATATCAACTTTTCTAATTTTATACACAGGTGTCCCATTATGATTTACTAATTTTTATTATTAGTTTATATAGTTAAATTAGTAATCATAACGGGACATTCTGTACATACATATTCAATAAATAATAAAACACTAAATAATATAATAAAATGTGTTTATTTTTTATATTGTTTTATGATTTCTAAAATAATAAATGCATTAATATTTGAAAAGGTATTACAAATTTTATATATACTAAATTTTATTGGAGAGGCTAACTTAAACTAGCCCCCCCCCCAATTCGCATCTGTGTCGCGAAACCAAAACTCAATCAACGGAATACTATTTAATAGAATTTAAGAACTTTCATTTACTATTTTCCACTTGTGCGATGTCCTGTGCAGTTATACGTTCTACACGTCCCTTACATCGGCAGTGGGTGTACCGGTAAATCCGCTCGTTTCTGGATGAGTATGATATGTCATGTCATACTCATCATACAATCACGCCACTTAATTTTACGATACTGATTTGCGCGTTGCATGTCTTGGATAATGGCGTCTAGACAGAACAATTTTCAAAAATACGAATGTAATTAATTAATTGAGAAAAACATTTGATGTATAATTCTAACCAAATTTTTGTTCCATATTATGTGTAGAAATCTGAGATTATTCAGCCGAATACGTCTGGCTGTCTTAAATACCGACCGACAGAATAGCACAACGTTATCCCGCCAGCATCGCCATCACAGTTCGGTGTCTTTAAGGTAATCATATTCGTCATCATCTTCTAAACCCCTGATACCATTTTTCTAGAATTTGATCGAAAGTTCTGAGCGCGTCTAACATTAAAAACAACATATTTTCCCTGATTCCCTGGTACCATATTTCCAAATATTTTTTTAGCGGCGGTCACGCTTACAATATACTTCACTAGAAACTCTGATGATTAAGTTGCCTACACAAAACCTGAAACCGATTAGACCTTTAAACGATTTAGAGCAATGTGATTTTATTTATTCCGTTGCATTTTTAATAAATGCTTAGTATATGCAACCCAACCAAACCAATCAGCAGAGAATTATTCTTACTACAAAATTGCAATACATCAATATAACAAACGGTATTTACTCGGTGACTTTTAACTTTTATCTCTAATCTTAAACTATTTATGCCTAATACGGTAAGTGCAGTGTAATATGAATATTTTATCATTTACAATTATATGCTGTGATAGTTTTTTTGAACTTAACATAGAATTTGTTATAGTGCATTGGGTTTCTAAAATTTTACCATAATAGTTGGAAAACAAAAATGCGAATTAGAAAGGTGGACATTATTAAATAGAGTCAAAGGCTTTGAAATTGACACAGCAGTGTTTAACTCTGGTCGATTAAATGGCGCTTGTGTAGTATTGGAGCAAAAATTAGAAAGAAGTATACTGTTCTTAGCATGCAGACATCATGTTTTTGAAATAACATTTCATACTTTTATATTGATGCAAAATTTGTTCCGTCGTCTGATCCAGACATACCACTTTTTAAGAGATTTGTTAATGATTGAAAAAAATTAAATAAAACTGAATATTTCATTTGGTCTAATGATACAATTTAAAATATATATTGAAAAATTATAGAGAAAAATACTACAATTCTCTGGAAAAAAATTACAAAACTATATTCTATCAATGACTATAGAAAATTTCTGAAGCTTATAGTAATATATCAAGGCTATAACATTTTATCAGGTTGGAGCACATCACTTAACACGTTGGATGAAAAAGGTATTTATTTATTAAAAAGTTACTATTTATAAAACAGTTTAAATTGACTCTTACGGAAAAAATGGCTCTAAAAAGAATCTGTTGTTCATTATTAAATGTCAGTCTCAAGTCTGGTTCACTACACTTAATTCAATTGAGCTCTTTTTTCAATTATCGATTCTCGCTTTACTATAGAACAAAAAAAAAACATTAAAAATTAAAAATTTTAAATAGAACTGCATCATTTGAAGAAATAGGTGACAAAAAAAACTTTAATTTAAAAATCGATGAATTGCCACATTTTTTCTCGAAGGACTTACCAGTTGACTTAATTACAAATAAGTCTTTTCAATTTTTTAAATAATCTAACATAAAATAGGTCCACAATTTTGAGAAGAAAATGAAGACTTTCAAAAAGGTAAAAAAATAATTGCAGCAATAGTAGTAGTTAACGAAACGGCTAAACGTCATGTAAAACTAATGAATAACTACAATAGCATATTAACAAAAGTCGTAGAGCAAAGTAATTTTAACTACAAGTAAAAATGAAAATATTTATTAAAAGTTTATTTACTAAAATGTATGATAATCATTATTTACTTTTTGCAGACCGTACAAAACTATCGGAGGAGTACCCTAATTATAATCATAATACACTGAATAAAGAGTGTTATCAATCATATTTAGATCGTTAGCAGGCATGTAGACATGGGTGGGCCTGGCGCCCCTTAGATTTAATGTGGCCCAGGGCCGGCCCCCCCAAATTTAAAATTCAATTATTTTTAAGAATTATCAAAAACGTGCTAGGCTTTATATACATTGAAATTATTATTAATTTGTGATTTCTATTGAGTAATACAGTTATTATTTTGGCTGTATTTTCATTTTTATATTCATAGAAAACGTTATTTGAAAAAGATAACGTTCTAGACGTAATAATAAATGGAATAGCAGTTACTCCAAACGTGGTTGTAAGTAAATTTTTTTTAACTCTTGTCCAACAAATGATAACAAACTACCAAGTTTCTGCACTGATTAGAATCTAGTTGATAGTAAAATTCGATAGAGTATACTCTATGAAAAAATTTTTGATAAATCTTATCTTTAATTTGTTTCTTTTTAACACGCTTTTATTAGTTTCACGTGTATGTTTGTTGTTGTTTGTTTGTAAGTTTGTAACTCTCCAAACGCCACGCGTTATCGCATATTCCGTTGTCTAGACTAGACTGTTATACGCATTCACCCCTCCCCACGCCTCGCTCACAATACGACGGTACACTATTCCTATAAAAATTTATTTTTAGTTATCGTACCCGTACACGCGTGCTTGTCATCAATATTATATATATGTAAACAAATTTTTATTTTGACTGACCAATAACGCCCGCGTCTAATGCGCCTTACGTATATATATATATATNTTGTTTATAATTTATATTTATTTTAAAATTTTTTATAACTTATTTGTTATTAGTATTTAGGTATAAATTATTTTTTCTTAATAGCTTAAGAAATGTGTTAATTTTATAAATAATGATAAAAAAACATAAAAATTACTATTTTGAGTGAATTTTCAACTCCAATTCGGTACCTGAAGGGGCAAGTTATTAAAACCAAATTTTACCCAAATGACTTACATATAACAACGAAAAATATTGTCGGGTACAGAGATCGATCAATGAAAGTTTATAAAATAAGAGCCATCCTAATATATATCTATTTATATATTTATATTAAAAATAGAGAATAAAAACAAATATTTTTAAGATATAGAATTAAAATATTTTATTAATTAATACTTTTTATTATTTAATCCTTCTCTAAGTACAAACTCTTGTATTTTCCAAATTACAAGAGTTTATCTATTCATACAAAAATATTTCAACTATTAACTATTGACATAAAAAAAATTATATATAACATTTTAAACTCAGGTCAGTCTCAAAAATGTCTTTACTTCGAAATAATGGAATTGTCATACTAATAATTTATACTATTAATATTTTAAATATTAAATTCTATTAAAAAAATATTTTAATATTAAAAAAGTAGATAGGACCGTTTCTATTTTATTTACAAGACAATAATAATTTTTTGCTTAAAAACATAAATTAACCATATATAAAAGTAAAACAATAAAATAAATAATCTCACTCAAATAAACCTTAAATAAAATTATATAGATCAAACAATATAATAAAAATTACTTATAAATAACTAAACGTAAAATGAAATACATTTTAACTAGCATATTGCTTAACATTTATCAGAAAAAAATGTTTAAAGTTCAAAATTTATTGCATTAGACAAGGAAAACTAATTTAATAAATTGAATTTTAATTTTTAAGTTAATTTTTTTATGAAAAATAAAACTTCCTAATAATAATGGTCAAAGAAAACTAAAGTAATTTTTCCCAGTAATTTATATTTACTGGATTTAAAGGAAACAAATTCTATTACAATAACTAATGTCAGAAACTTATTCTGAAACTTAGTTTTTAGAATTTGAACTTATCCACACTCGTCTATCTTTGGCATTAACATTTTTCTTTTTGTTATCCTCAACTTTCTTCCATAAAGTTGCTATCTTACTAGTAACTTCTTTCTTTTGTACATTACCTTTCACGGAACATCCAGAACTAGCAGCTGACATGTTTGAGTTTAAACTTGTATTGCTGTTGGTCTTAGTTGTTTTTCCAACAGCAGATAAGCTATTATTACTACCTCCCCAGTGATTAACACTGTTTTTCAAGCTATTATGACTTAATGATGTATGTACCCCTCTAGTAGTACATACACTTATAGACTTTGGAGTTAACACTTTAATTAAATTTGGAGCACTAGTGTTCTTTTTTCCAGATGATCCTGGGGTCGGTATACGAGACTCCTCTTTTACAAAGGTACCCTGCCTTTTGAGCGGTAAAGGTTTTTTCACTGGGGTAGTTTCTGAGCTTTTAGTTGGTGGTGTTGTAGGTGTCACACTTCCACGTGCTACAATTGGTATACCACTTCCTCGACCTTTCTTTTTACCTCTAACTGCTTTAATTTCTGTAGGCTTAACAATACGAGCTGAGATTATGGGTAAGTTAGAGCTATTTTCATCACTAGAATAACCATCTGTACCATCTGAAGAGCTATAATCATCAATTTTTAAAGTTTCAGTTATGGTTACATCATTATCATTGTCTTTTGATTGTTTTGTTACGATTTGAGTAAGATCAAGATCTGCCAATGTTCGGGTTCGAAATCTATCTTTTTCAGTTGATCTCTTTGTTTGGAATTTTTCTTTAGGTGACATTTTTTTAACAGCTCCTTCTGACGAATGAGAATCGGATTCATTTAAAGGTGATGGTCTGTTTTCTGGACCAGTAGAATTTTCCCTGCTATCATCAGAATTAATTGTATATGTATTATACCTAATAAAAAAATTTAATTGACATATTAATATGTATATATAGGTGTTCAAACATCTTCAATCATTCTTTTATTAACTAGCAAATATTTTGAGTTAATTTTATTTTTTTAATAACTTTATGGTCTATGTTAAAAGCATACTTACACCCACCACATTACATACCCACTCAATCAAAATTCATCTTTAAAGTGTATAGGGTAGCTTAATAAAAAATATATATATGTAATAATCACTCATAATTTTGTTATTATTATTTTCTACGTAAATTATTTCAAAAGTTAAAGTCCTTATAATAAGCATAAAAATACATTATTTTCCAAAGAGACCTTTAATTTTAAATTATCTCCTTTCATAAAAACAAAAAAGTTTTATGTACTGTTTTACAAAAAGTAATTTCTTTGTAAAAAAGAATAAAAATATTTACCTATCTTTTTTCATATTTCGTTTTTGTTTTGGAGTCAATCTACGTCTTATTTGAGCTGGACTAGAAAAATTTTGATCAGATGACATTTCTGATGATGGTAAATCATCAACTAGGGTCAATTCATCAACAGCTGTATAGAATTGTGCACCCACAGATTGATCAACTATTTCTGATTGTATACTTGATATGATAGTGATACTATTTTCCATTTCAAAGTCAGTTATTTCATCCATATAAGATGGAGGGTTCACATTCTCGATGTTAACACAACTGCCCAATGAATCATTTCGCTCTTTAAAAACCTTTCCTTTCTTATCAAATCCATAATTTGAATGCATACTTGCCGTCAGAGATAATAGACTCTCCATATCTGAAGGAGGTTTGATGGAATCTAAATGATTATCTTCAACTTCTATGGAAGATATGATTCCTAGAAAAAATATTATTAAAAATAATTAAATTTTAAATAATAATTTTAAAAAAATGTATTAAATTATTACCTATTTCACCTTTTTCCAATTTGATTAATTTTGGTTTTGATTTTTCATAACTATTAGCACTATGGTATGTACTAGTAAGAGTAGAAAATGTCAGTGTTTCATCATCTATCCAAGTTGAATCATCACTCTCATCTTTTTTGTAAGCTATTCCATCAACATTATCTCTTGGTGTAATAGTATAAGTAGATTCGCTAACTTCACTTTCTAACTTTGTTACATATGTCTTTTTATAGTTGTTGGGTACTGGTATCTCTCTTTTCTTAGAAATTTTAACTCGTTCAATATTTTTTATACCTTGATTAATGCAATTGTTCAATAAAGTTTCTTCTTCATTTAGATCTAAATTATTATTTATATTTTTCGATTTATTTTTCTGAACATTTTTCATACCAGCAGAAATACATTCATTTAATAAAGTTGCTTGCTCATCATCTGATATTTCATCATTTGCGTTTTTAAATGTTTTTTTACTATTTCTAATGCCAGCAGCTATACACGACTCTAATAATTGTTGTTGTTGTTCTTCGGTTAATTCAATATCTTGTTTGATAGATCTTTTCATAACAGGTAATTGTGATTTAGACTTAGTTGATATCTTAATGCCTGTTGCTATACATTGATTTAACAGCTCTTGTTGTTCATCATCTGGTATATCATCAGAAATTGTTTTATTTGTAGTAATTTTTTCAATTCCTGCATTAATACATTGATCTAATAATGCATTATTATCATCATCATCATCTTCGGACATAAGTTCACTATTTAATGTAAGCGTGTCCTGTAAAGAATGAGATCTTGATACTCGATTATCACATTTATTGGAATCATCCATTGAAAATTCACTACCTATTGAATCTGTAGACATTCTTTTATGAATAACAGTATCAGGATCTGCAATTAAAATATTTTTTTATTTGTAAAAAATTTAATTCAAACTATTTAAAAATAAATTTTTTATCGAATTTAATATTATTAAATAAGAATTTTGATGAAGCAATACTTTAGCTTTATACCGAAGCACTATTTAAGTATTATTATATAAATTCATGAATAGTATGTATTAGATTTACATAAAAGATCTTTTTACATATATTACATTTAGAAGATTATTATCAATTTTAATTATATAAACACATTTTTAATAAAAACAATGCCTTGATACATACCTTCTAATTCAGAAGAATTGATTGAATTAGATATATGAGATTCAGTTGAAGGAGAATCTAAAGCCAATTGTCTAAAATAAAAGTTATAGATTTGATCATCAAAAAAATATTTTACTTATAAACAAACTCACCTAGAAGTATTTGAAGAAAGTGGTATAGATGAACTTTGATTATGCTTAACATTAAAAGTTCCTTGGAAATTTCCAGGTGTTTGATATAAGCGCCTTTTCCCAACCTAAAAATCAAAGAGTTTTGTTAAAAATATTCACTATAAAACTTTTTATATCAATTAATACTAACTACTTTCATTGACTGTCTTAGAATAACATTTGTTTCAGAACCATCTTCAGAAGGAGTAATCATGGACAAATCGGAATGTGAAGTAGCTGTACTTATATTTGCAGGAGTTCCTTCAGTACAAAATCCCATCATTTCATCAGCCTAAATAAGTTTTAATGTAACAACCTCATGGTCCATAAAATGATAAAAATAATACATTTTACCTCATTTTCTGTTACTTTATTACATGATTTAGAAACAAATGAAGATTCAGTATATCTTTCGCTTGAATGAGTGTTATTTTGTACCATAACTGGAAATCTTGCCCTGAAAATATATTAAATGGTCTAAATTATAGAACATCTTTTCTAATAAAACTATCTTTTGAATAACTTACTTTATATGAGGTATAAATCCTGGATTTTTATTTTGTATGTATGGAGATTCCATACAGGATGACTGCAAATAAATAATTTACGATTTATTTTTATCATACATTAAGATAAGTATAAAAGAAATCATAAATAAATAGAACCCATCTCAAATGAACCAGTTAATAGAAGTGAAAGTGAACTACATAATAATAACACTAAAAGTAATCAATTGTTCACGGTTAGTTGTTCACAGATGACAATTATTTTCTTCTTTTTTTTTTATTATTATTATTTATTCCCTTTTACTATTTAAGTTAAAATTTAGATTTACTGCATAAATCTTACTTGAGTAGATTTTAAAGATATGCAATCTTTATCTGATGAAGGTGAACTAAATAATTCACTGTTATTTATACTGTAAAAAAAAAAGTTATTTATATGACTAAATATAGTTATACTACATACTACAGTCTTAGATGAAATTAAAAATAAAGTTTCCTGATTCAATAATTTATTATGTATAAACAATAACTCACTTAGAATTAAGTTCTTCATTTAATGATGGTAACATTGGAAGGTTTGGTAAATACTGAATTTTTATCTATAATATGAATATAGTTAAATTACAATATAATGCATACAATACAAGAACTTACCCCAGGAATATCATCATCAATAGTTAAACTACTTAAGCTTGTGCATCCAGATCCTTTACCAGGCATTTTTTCTTCTTTAAAAACAGTAACAGTGTCTTCAAAAATACTTTCATCTTAAATATTCAAATTTTATTTATGTTTTAACCATAAAATTTTAAATAAATTAAGATGTCTTTATGTAAGTAACAAATGGTATCAAAATATTTAATTTACTAAAATTAAGATTATTTAAAGTAAAACATAAATTTAATTAATCAAATTCTAATATAATCATTCTCTTCTTCTTCTTCCTGGCCTTAATCCCAACTACTTGGGGTCAGCCACCTTTACCTAAACTTCCACTTGACACAATCTCCCACATCCTCTACGCTCACATCAGCTGTCCTCTTAGTACATTTAATAACATCTTTCCATCTCTTTTTTGGTTTTCCTCTACATCTTCTTCCTTCAACATTAATTTTATATAACTGTTCTAACAGCTTTCGATTTTCTCTCTACACATAACATGACCAAACCATCTAAGTATATTTTCTCTCATCTTATTCATGATAGACACTACGCCGTATACTCCCTCTTATATGTTTGTTCCTTATCCTATTTCTCTAGTTACTCCACTCAACCATCTAAACATTCTCATCTCTGCTACACTCATTTTTTGCTCTACTTTTTTACAACCACTCAACACTCTGAACCATACATCATAGCTGGCCTCACTACAGTATTGTAGAATTTACCTTTCAGCCTCATTAAATTCTCTTATCGCATAACACACCAGACACTTCAACCACTCTCACTTAATCCTATGTCTCTCGGTACTCTATCATACACTTTCTCCAAATCTATAAATACCATACAAAGCTTTTTCTTTTTTCCCTAAACTTTTCTATTAGTTGCCTCACACAAAATAATGGTTCCATTGTTGACTTACCACCAGGCATAAATCCAAACTGGTTTTTAGATACCGATGTCTCATTTCTTATTCTCTCATCTATTATCTTTTCCCAAATTTTCATACTATGACTCATAAGCTTTATGCCTCTATAATTTCCACATTCCTGAATGTCACCTTTACCTTTAAATATCTGCACCACAATACTATTCCTCTATTCATTTGGAATTTTCTCTTCAAATAAGATTTTATTTAAAAGTTCCTTCAACCACCTTATGCCAACACAGCCTAATATTTTCTATACTTCTACTGGCAGTTCATCTGGTCCCACTGCTTTATTCTTTTTCATTGATGCCTCAGCCTCCGATACCTCTTTCTCACTAATTAAATTTACCAGTCCCTCATTTCATGAGATATCCTGTAACGCCTCTTTTGGATACTCCTCATTCAGTAATTTTTTAAATTACTCTTTCCACCTTTTTTTCACATCATCATCACTCGAGAGTACCCTATTATCAGCACTTTTTATAGACCTTATGTAATGATAGTCTTTAGTCCTTTTCTCTCTCGCTTTTGCAAGTCTATAGATTTCTTTCTCGCCTTCCTTTGTTCCTAGCCTATCATACAACTTATTATACCTCTTTAACTTCACCTTACTTACTGCACACTTGGCTTCTTTGCACAAACGTTTATACACCATACACTCTTCTCTCCTTTTGCTCTTCTGCCATACTTTGAATTGCTTTTTCTTACTTTCTATGATTTATTTTAATGTCGTCATCCCACCACCAGGTTTCCTTGTTTCCTAGCATTCTACTCCTACTCTCACCAACAATCTCCTTTGCAATATTCTTAACACAACTAGCAAATCTATTTCACACATCAATTATGTCACCTTCGACATTCCACACTGTCCTCTTTTTTGCCATTTTGATTAATTCTTTTTTTCATTTTCCCCTTTCAATGTCCGCCAACAGATTTTCGATTTTTCTCCCGTGTTCTTTCTGTTTTTGTATATTCTTTTTCCAGTACACTAAAACTCCATTACCATTAGTCTATGCTTTGTAGTTACACTCTCGCCTTGTATACTTTACAATCCATTACTCACTTTACGTTCTCTCTCTTTCACATAAAATAATCAATCTGTGATCTATTCCTCCCACACTTATAAGTTATATAATATTCTTCCCTCTTTTTAAACTAAGTATTAATCATAGCAAAATCATATGATACTGCAAAATTCCAAGATTCTTTCTCCAGCCTCATTCTTCCCACTAAAACCATACCCTCCATGTACTCTTTCATATCCTCTCCTCTCATAACCTGCATGTCCATTCATATCTCCACCTATCACCGCATCCTCATTTCCAGGTACCCCTTGCATCACCTCATCCATCTCTCACCAAAACACTTCCTTGTCTATTTCATCACATCCTACTTGTAGTGTATAGGCAATTATTAAATTCAGCACTTTTTCCTTAAATATCAATTTCACGACTATAATCTGTCACTTTTCCTCACTACATGTACTACTTTACTTTTCATTTCCTCATCCATTATTATCCCTACACCATTCTTTGTACTATACTTCCCTAAGTATATTATTTTATAGTACCTATTCTTCCAAGTACCTATTCTTACTTTGTATCTATCTTTTTTTTCCTCCCTCATACACAAGAGAGTATCCTAGAGTTAAGTAGTGATGTCCCTTCACCGTTGACACTACAAGAGACCTGTACACATGACTGGTGATCTAATCTAATCATTGTAAATAAAATTTATTCAATTGCACTTTATTCAAGAATGAATTTTTATGCAAAAATCTTTAATTCAATAATAACAATTATCCTCTCAAATAAAAATTATAAATAGTTAACATTTATTATACAGATACCATCTACTAAATTATACATTAAAACACTCAATTTATAGACTAAAAAATATTTACTTTTATAACATGGAGGGCTTGGTGGGACAGATGGTGTAGGAGAATCGGGAATTTCACTAGGTGTCACTAGTCCACTGGTTACACGGCTAAGCAAAATTTTTAGGAATATGTTAAAATTATAGTTAAAAAATATATAAAACACTTTGATCTTTGTTAAAAGAGTAGCTTATGTTTTTTTTTTTAATAAAATAAATAAACAAAATTATGAACTAATTTTAAAAAATTAAAATATTTAATTATCATTATTTATTATTATTATTTTTTGTTATTTGGTAGAATGTTACTTCCATAGAAGTTAAATTTGCTTCTAGTTTATTGAAATTAAAAAAAAAATTCTATCAAGTTTAAAAATATAAATATAAACTTAATGGAATATCATAACACATAAAAAAGTTAGAAAGCTACTATTTTTATTTTGTAAAAGATTAGACTATGTTATTTTCCTATTTTTCATAAATAAAATATACATTTCATTATTATACACTCACCTGCATTCACTGACTGCTGAACTACCAACAAATCCTTCGGGTGGTTCACAACTTCCAAGTGATGCAATTGAACTACTTCTTGAAAACATTAATGGTGTTTCAAAAGTAACCATTTTCCCTGTGTATTATTTGAAAATTAATCATTTATAGAATAAATTTAAAATAAAAAAACTTTACCTTCTTTTTGGTCATCTTTAGGTTGATTGTTATCAGGGGTTTGACTTCCAGAGTTTTGAACATTAGTACTTTGTTCAGATGGTCCTAATCCAGATCCATTTTGACTCTAAAGAAAAAAAAATTAATTAGTATCTTTAATTGTTCTCTATTTAAAAAACATATCATTCAACTATTAATAAGGATTCTCATTAATTTGGCAGAATAATTTGGCTTAGGAGTGCCAAAGAACTAAATACACCATTGGGGATATAACACTTCAATTTATATAATAAAATGCATTATCAGAAAAATGTTAGTTAACACTGTAATAATGTATTTAATGTATTGAATAACAATAAGTAACATATGTTATATATGAGATGTCTCAGTCAAAAAGTGATTCATTATGTCTACCAAAACATTAATATTATGTTACTTGATTCACTTTAATGTATAAGTAATTTTTTTATTTTTAAATATTAAGACATCTCAAATGTTCTCTTAAAATTAATGTCATTACCTTTTCTTCCATTCCACATTTTCTTAAATCTGAATAAGATGCTGCATTTGAAAAGTTGTAAGGTGTCCCTTCAGTGCAATAAGTTTGGGTTGTATCACCAGTTAACGCTTTTTCACCAGTATCGTCATCTTCACACAATAAACTATAGTTAGTTGCTTCATCAAACGAAGTTTCAGTAAAGTCTGTTGTTTTTTTTTCTTTTTCATTTAAGTTAATCTCTTTATTAATTTGGTGAGTACCATTATGAGATAAGTTAGAAGATTCAATAGAATTAGTAATTTCACTAGATATGTGTTTATCAATAATTTCATCACTTTGGTAAGTTGATTGGGAGTCTTCAATTTTTTTTGAAAATCTAGCCATAAAATTATAATGTTTTAATTAAAAATCAGTTAAGAGAAAAATTAATCTTTCAATGCATTAAGTAGTATATTTTTGGGGGCTAGAACAAAAGTAATAAAAGTAAATAAATCTTTTTTCAGTGGAGCTATTAGAATATATTATTATTCCATATGAACTATCATGAATACAGGTTTGAAAAATACTATAATAGCTTACTTCTATGTTAATACCAAAGATTTATAGTTAGAAGTACAAACAATGTTTTTGAATTATTTATGAGATATTTAGTTATCAAAATGGTATAAAAAAATATTATTTTATTGACTATCAAATTGATTAAACAGTTAGGGGTAGTCAGAAGCTTAAAAAATGAATATTTTAAATATTTTTTTTTGTTTAACAGTAATTTATTTTATACAACAAATAATACAAATTTATTATATTGTACTTTTACTTTATTTGACAAAAATAAAAAAGGCACTAGATTAACTATTAAATAATTGATTTTTTTTTTTGTTCGATTGATTTTATAAGAACCAGTAAAATTTTATGATAGTTACAGCAAGCAACAACTTTTAGGAGGGGACTCCACAAATATAGCCTTTAACTTGGTCTACAATAATTGTTTATTATTTGTTATTTATATATATATTAATTTTTATTGCTTTTATTAGTTCATTAAGGGTCATAGCGACCTACCCGTAGGAAGAGGTTTTCTTTACCATTTATACTCTGGGACAGGTGGTTAGTCCGTCGCAAATGAAGCCGCAAGTGACTGAGTTTCAAACCCGAGGCAGTGCACGTCAAGCACTGCCGAGTTACCGACTTAGCCACACCGTACCACTATTTGTTATATAAAATAAACTAAAAAAAAAAAAAAACTACTAATTTTTTCAAGCTTTTGACTAACCTTAACCCCTTAATAATCATGAAAAAAATGTTATAGCATGTATTAACTAGATAACCAAAAAGAAAAAACCTCATGCATTGAAAGTAGAAGGAAATTCACATTAAAATAAATTTTAAAGAAATAATAATCATACTCATTAGTGACATTTATGTTTTTAGTTACTTCACTATTGTATCTAGTACTACTAATAGTATTTTTAACATTTGTTTCTGAATCTTTGTCAAAGTTACCTTAAAATAAATAAATGACTTGAGAAAATCCTTAAATTTACATTAATATATTATTTTCTATGTTGCACTACCATGATTAGAGTTGTACGCTGGCATAGCATTCAGAAGATTACTAAGAGCAGCTGAAGATCCAGTAGCAATCATTTTATGTTTGGAATGAATTAATGACTTCAACATAGGCACAATACCCAAATTTATCATAGTTGTTTGATCCTGAATATTATGAGCTGATAAATTCCAAATTGTTCCACATGCATTACTCACAATAGTTAAACTAGGAGATAGTAGTTGTTGCATCAACATTTCTAGTACATTATGGCGTCTTAAAATATTCCTACAAAAATAAATTAAAATCTTTATTTAAGAAATTTAAAGAAATTATTGAATGATTAATTACCGATACTCTTCATTAGATGCAATAATACAAGATATATTTCTTAAAATTCCTCCAGCATTTTCAATAATAGTAACAGATTTAAAAGAACTTGTTCCACTTAATGTAAATATTAAGAATTCAATTGCACCTTCAACTTTACAAATTTCTTCCTGAATATTTAAGAAATCAGTATTAATTTTTGGTTAATGTAAAATAAATAATTCATTTAATACTTTATTTTCTGGAGAGTGAGCAGAAAAATTCCAAATAGCAGACAAAAATGACTTCATTGTCATTTCCTTGTTAGCTTTCACAGCAGCTTCCATTAATGCCTTAACAGCTCCTACTTCTCGTAAAATATCTTTGCTTTTAGGATCAGCTCTCCAAGATAAATTACGTAGAACACTAGCTGTCACCTAAAATTTAATATAAGTATAATTTATTGAGATATGCATTAACAATATGGTTATTACCTGTCTAAGGTCTTCACATTGTATTTGTAATTGTAATATCAATACTTTAAGAAAACTTTTAAATGAACACAACAATGTTTTTGTTGTAGCATCTCCAAATGTAAGATTAGTTAGAGCCATTCCTGCATATCGTCGTAATGTAACACATTCTGACATAGGATCTAAATCTAAAGCACTCCCATGAACTTCATGATCTACTTGGATCAATCTTGTTATTGTATGAATAGCTCCTTTAAAATGAAGTAGAATCGCAAAGTTTATTCTATACATTAACAAACCTTATATATTTTTTAATCAAAATTCTCACCAAGAAGGCACATGGCAAATCGATGTTGACTATCAAAAGATAATTTCATTAATGCAGCTATAGATGTAATTGGATGTTTGCTTATATCCAACTGTTTAAGCACAACTACAGGTGTATCACAATACTCTCTCATATTTTCTAATAATTTATAAACTCTAGATTCTCTACGACCTTGCTTTTCATCTTGATTAAATGTAACAATATTTTTTAGAGCTTGACTAGCATTATGTCGAACAACTATATCAGCGTTCATATCATGAACAATTTGAACAAGTAGAGGAACACATCCTAAAAATTTTTTGTTAAGTATCAGTTTAAATGTATGAATTTAAATATAGTTGAAATATAAATACCTGTTTGTCTCATTGCAGCACAACAATCTGGGGACTTACTCATCGCTAAAAGAACAGTGACTGACTGATATGAAGACTGTATTGAATTGTTATTCTCTAATAATGATAATAAATTGTAAACAATTTCCACTTTTGCACCTAACTGTTGCTGACTGTTTGATCTCATGGATAGTCCTTTTTCATCTTCCACTGAAGATGTCTGAGATCTAATCATAGATAAATTAGATGACCCATTTGTTGGCCCAATGCTGTGCCACATATTAAATTTTTTGTCAGCCATTAAGCTTGGAGGTGTTGGTAAACATCCCTAAATTTTTGAAAACACATTTAAAAAATTCATAAAAGAAATTACTTTTATATTTACATCAGGAGAAATTTTAGCTTCGTCTTCTTCTTTATCTTCTACTATTGCTCTTTTTTCTTTCTCTACAAAATGGTCCTAAAAAATAAATAATTTCAAGATGTACCCCATTGCTTTGTATTTTAAAAGTAATATCCCACTCATGGTCACCTCATTTATCATTCTCAGACGAGTATCACCACTATTGTAAAAATTTTTAACACTGTGGTTGTCACCATGCAATGACTGTGTGATTGACCAATTATTAGCTTTTCGATTATCATCAACATTGTGTAAAAAAAAGTGATATTGAGAGTTTGTAAAATTATTTCTAAGATAAAACGAAATAATAATAAGTGAAAATTTTAAACAACAAATATATTTTTTGAAACAATCAGTGATTTGCTTAAAAATATTTTTCATACAGGGCAATTCATTAAAGATATAACTCTCATTTTCTTTAAAACTATTGAAAATTTTAAATTTTCATAAAGAAAAATATAATTTGATCCAAAAAATTCTAGAATTATATGTAGCTAAATAATTTTTTTATACACCCTTTCAGAGTCAAAAAACCTAAACTTTAATTTTCTTTTAATGAGAATCTCTATTATTAATTTAAAAATATACGAAAAAATTTCAAATTGTTTTGTTATTATAGTTTTTGTTTTATGCGATCAACTATTTGTATTTTTAAATCGTATAGAGGTTTCAGTTTAAAACAAAAATTTATCATTTATTTAGTTTTCATAATGCCAGAGGCAACAATAAACTATTTCAATGAGATATAAATTATTGTCATTATTTATTTTTGATATTGTATGTGACAAATACAATAATAAGTACTGTCTATAAAATCTTGTTTATATGACATTGCAAAGAAATGATGATTATTGTGTGCTAAATAAAAAATTATCAATAGAAAATTGGTTAAAAATTGCTAAATTTAATAACTAATAACAGACACGAACGACTCTTAAAATAAAAAATAATATAAGAATAAAATTTTTTTCTATTATACCATTAAACTAAAAATACGGGTTTCTGTTAAATAAAATTAAAGATTAAGTTTTTTAACTCTGGAGGGGTGAAAAAAAAATTATTTCACTACATTTAATTGTAGAATTTTTTGAAATAAACAATATTTTCCTTTAGAAAATTTAAATTTTGTAATAATTTCCAAGCAAAAGAATATCTTATCCTTAATCCATCAACCTGTATAAATGAAATACATACTTGTCGTTAAATGTTTCGAAAATATTATTGTTGTTATTTTTTCCGTCATTAATGTCTATTTTACCAAAGCTAAAACTTTCCGTCGCACAACTAGTATTGTTGTTATTGCGAAAATGATCATTATCGTTTTTGGTTAACATAGTCCATCGCGTCTTACCAGGATTCGATTGTGACCGACAATGACCTACAGGAGATGGAGAGACGTGATGGGAACGAGACGACGATACAGAACGTACAGGTAATCTCGACTGCCTATTATTAGAATTCATTGCTAATAAAGAGAACTAAGTAGTGATCAAAAATTAGACGACTAGTCATGTTACAATGCGTATACAAGGGATACTAGAGTTTAATCAATATTACAGCTGCTGGGGTGAACTGAAGGGGAGTGGCTAACAGCTGTCTCAAATAGTGAAGACCGTGAACTTTTTTCGACGGAAAAGCATCAATTGATAAAAAGAAGTTACTTTTTTTTTTTTTTTTTAAACAATTATTTGTCAGAAAGTACTTAAAAAAGATTTGCAAAAAGAATTTTAAGAAATGTATTTCTAATGGTGGAATATCTATTTAATGAGACTACACAGAATTTCAAACATGCATTAGTTATTTTTCAACACCACTTTATCAACTATCAGAATTTTTTTTCTTCTACAGAATTCTTTAGTAAATTAAAACACGAGACTGGTGAGCATTTTTAGACATTTGAATCTTATTATATAATAAAACGAAAAATTAGCCAATGCTGGAAAAATTACCTAACGACGTACGACTTCCAAAATTTTTTTTTTAATTGAAAGAGTTTGACGAAGTTATTCCAGAGAAATTATTAGCGAAGATGAGAAAAAAAATTTTAGCACACTGTGGGCGTTTAAAATAATTATCAAAAACGCTCATTGCCGCCAGCGTTTTTTGATTTAAAATCTGAAATGTTTACCAGGCATACCCAAAGGTAGACATTCCAAAGGTACCCTGAAAATTTTGTTAAAATCTGCTCAGTTTTGACCGAATTGTGAGCTTTTTTTTTTAAGTCCACGCGCATAGTTTTTAATAGGTTATTATTTTGGTTTGCGCATGTCAATTTTGTTTAAATTTTATGCAAGTATATAAGTGTACTAAAAACACTGTACTTAAAGATACCTTAGGAGTATACCTAAATATTATTAGGTCATATTTTTATTATTCCATGTATCCAATAAAAATTATTTTAAAGGATGTATAAAAAATAAGTATTGTATGATAAAAAAGTTCATTTATTATTATTTTCATTAATAACTTTTTTTATTTCCTTCTCCTTTTTTTCTTTAGGAACAAAATTTTTAATTATTATAATATGCCTTACCATATCAACACACTTTTTCTTTGTGGTAGGACATTTTCCTACAGTTTTTACATTAAATGTTAATGAAAATTTGTATTGTTGTATTAGATTCTAATACAAATTTAAATGTATGGTCTTTTATTTGAATTATTTATTCTGTATTATAGTATTTCCACCTATTACCTTTAACTGCGTAACACAATTTTATTAATATTGATGATACCAAAGATAGTATTAAATTTGAAATATTATAATAATATCGTGATGATTTTAGTCAAAAAATTTAAACTTTGTACCCTATACATTTCACTATTTATTATTTTTGAATTTAACTCATTTTATTAATTAAATGTCCATTACATTTCCGTTTAACTGATTCTAGAGTAATACTTTTCCTGCTCAACACTTATTGTGACCGGTGTAACTGGATACTCCTACCGGACTTAGTGGCCTACCTGTAAGTACAGATCGAAGGGTCTAACACACCGTAAGTGCGCGAGACTCGCAGAGCACCGAATCTAAAGCGGAGCCCCAGCTAGGTGAATCTATAGTAAAAATTTTACGATAATAGTTGTAATCAACCATTGACGAAATTTAATATATTAATATATTCTTTTAATATTTTTAAAATCGTAACGATAACTATGTGTTTTTTTTTTATAATTGTAGTTTAATAAATTCAATTTAAAATAACATCATATGTTCCCTTAAATTTTAATCAATTAAATCTAATTTAGTTAAGTCAAAAGTAGTAAAAACGATATTTCATTCGACAGTCACCTAAATTATCGTCGAAAAACGATACAATGTTAATATCTAGACATACAGGCTATAGTTATCTTCTTGTGTTGAACTTTGAAACTAATTAGTGATCCTTTGCAATTTTACTAAGTAGGATTACTAGAAGAATATTACTGAGTAGGATTTAGACTATGACAAATGAATTAATAAGGAATTTAAAAAGTAAGAATCAGACATCGTTTCTCATAAATCGGACTTTGCTGATTTATAGCAAAACAGTAAATAATTTTTATAAACAATATAGCTTTTTAGTAGTCATAAAACTACAGAAAATCACACATTATTATGAGATTTTTTATTAAGTTACTACGCAAATATAGGTACGTTTACATTACAAAAGCATTCAGCTTAATTATAAATTTTCATTGTTCAGGATAACCAAAAATAATATAATCTATTACTGTAAATGCAACCAGTTTTTCTCAAAGAAATAATTGTTTTCTATTGACATACACTGAACAAAGATTTTTATGTACGGTTAATCTTTCCTAATAGCTTACAAACTTAGAACAGAATAAATAATTCTGAGTTAGGATAGTCGTTCACTTCAACGACTTTGCTTACAAATCTTCCATAATAATTGCACGAGATACATCGAACCCGTATAAGACTTCGACTGTAGTGGGGCAAAAATAACAATAACGAAGGCTGGTCGAACACGAAATGTTAAATATTCTTACAACAGTCTGTTGGTGAATCATACTAATAGCGTCAAATTATTATTTACCAAACCAGCTAGCTAACCCATTAAATTACATAGGAAAGTAAAAAAGTTTTCAACCAAAAATAACGATATGATGGTATAATTTGTAAATACTTACTTGTTGACTACTAGTAATGCCTTCCACAGTCATTTTTTTTAATGAGTTTCTCGTTAAAATTTCACGATTGGACTCCACTAAACGTAACAAATATTTAACGTAAAAATTTAACACAAAATATAATTTTTTGAATAACTATAAATAATTGCTTAGGAAATAAATTCATATCTCATACTTGGTGTTAACAAAGGAATATCCAATTGTCTTTGAAGTTGACGGGTTTCTTGGTTAAGACTACGGACCGTTTCCAACAGCTCTTCATAGCTGGAAACTGGAAGTGTCATATCTCATAACTAAACAATAGTAGGAATAACTAGAAAAAACGATAAAAATAAAATATTTTGAAACAATACGGGATACATAAATTTTATTGGGTTATTATAATTATAATAACATTAAATAGAGAAAATATGTTCTTACTAAATGCAATTTCAAGGACTTGAAGATCACGTCGTTCAAAAATTATTAAAATAAAAGATATTCATTTTTTAACTAAATTCGACTTATAATTCCAAATAGAGATACAACTAATTAATTTTATTACTAAATATATTCAATAATTGTGTTCTAGCCTTGGCCAATGTTAGAAAATTATCTCAAAAAGGAAACTCAAGGTTTTGTTTGTAATAAGTCACGATTTTGTAATATATCATAAAATCAAGTATCCATATAGGTAGAAGTGTTAATGTTTTTGATGTATAATACAAGTACTATTCTGAAGGACATATCAAGGAAAGATAGAATGCAAGTAAATTTAGATAACTCGAATACAAAATATACTTAGAAATAGCAATTCCCAAATTTCATACAAAATACATAAAATATTAAATTTTTTTTTTTTTGTTAATGCTTTAACAAATATAATTGAAGTATTTAACTTATTTATCTAAATGAATTATTTCTTCAATAAATATTTTTATAATATCTTATTTGTAAAGAAATCAAATTATTGTTATTACATTTGTAATAAAATTTTATTTATATAATTTTTAAACAGTAAAAGNAATTATTGTTATTACATTTGTAATAAAATTTTATTTATATAATTTTTAAACAGTAAAAGTATATTTTTCAACCTTTAAACTTACCAAAATAAGCACAAATAGGGGAGGATGCTTTGTTTACTTAGCATCTCCAAGCAGAACCTACCATTTTAAATTTTATAATAAAAATAAAATAATTTCTTATATAGAATGCATAAATAGTAAATGGAAATCATTATCTAAACCTAATTTCCAATTTTCTTTGACCTATTCTGGATGACATGGACACTGAAGAAATGTGTTTCCAGCAAGACAGTGCTACTTGTCATTGTGTGTCGAGCGAGTAGAGGAGGTTACATGTATGATATTATATTTCACTCTCATACCACAATTAGTAATGAAACAATCTATATCATTAATAATGTATTTCTTATAAAATAAAACTGATTTACAGCTGATTAAGCTGATTTACAAAAACTGTGTTTTTTATTAAATACCATAAATATAATTGTATATTTATATAAGATGAAAAGAAGGTTGAGTATATTATTTTGAATAAAGCAACAACAATTTTTTTTACCTTTGGAACTTAAGTACTCCCAAATTCAAAACATAATTTAATATAAAGCCTATGCTTACCAACATTCTTATTCTATAAATTATTAATACCTTGTGCCTAATTTTTAAATTATTAAGAAATAATATCTAATACCATCACTGTGCACTATTGAGCTTATATTCAAGTATAAAAATGCCTGGAGAATTTCCAATAATATAAGTATGTGGAGTTACAAAGATAGAAATAGAACCTAAATAACTTGGACTTCAATTGACATACATAGTATAAAAGCTCATTTCTTTAATATACTTAAAATAAAATGAGAAATATTAACATGTTACAAAGGGGCATCATCAATTTTGTTTTGTTTTATTAAAACTGTTTATGTACACAATGAATAAACCTAAAAAACACTAATTAATATAATCATTATATATGTTTTTGATTATTTCTTAATTATTATAAATGTTTGTTAAATTAAAAGAGTTTCATTGTTACTCATTACCTATTTTATGACTACACTTTAATAAAATGACTCAAAGAAATAAATAAATAATTCCCTACATAAACAATTAATTAAACATACAGAATAATGAATACAAAGTATTTCATTAACAAGTAAAAACTATAATTTTGATATCAAATAATTAAACAAACAAGCATAAATATAATCTATTATTTTTAGTCTATGCAACAATAGATATATTCTTCTAGTAGACAAAAAATGTATTGTACTGATAAGTTTAGAATACAATGTAAATCTAAAGGACAATGACTTTAAATGGTGACAATGTAATGATTTTTATTCAATGATGCTAAGTTTAAAAAAAATAAAATCTACAAAATTTTCTATAATTTTTAATATGATATATAAATAAAAATTTGGTTAAATAAACATTAAAATTTCATTATGGTTGAATAATTAAACTTAAAATGAGTAATAAAAATAAATTTTTGAGAAATTCACAATTATTCAAATTTTAAGATTATGTAATTGGTATTATTTAAAAATTAGTCTCTTATTTTCTTAATAAAATTTTAATAAGTTTATAAACAAGTAATAGTATGAATAGTTTGTAAAAAATGCATGAGTGTTAGTTTTGTCTTAAAATAATAAAAAAAACAGAAAACATTAAATATAAACTATATTTTTAAAAGAACCGCTCATGGGTATCACTGTATTATATTAATAAAAATAGTTTTTTAAGTATTGTTGAAGCTACACCAATTTTGAAAAAAAATGTACTCCACTTATATTGCATATAATATTTAGAAAAATATTTATAAGAACATTTATTAAACCAGTTATAATAAAATAATCATTATTTTTCTATATTTAAAAATATAAATTAAATGACGCACTTCTTTACGTTAGTGATCTCACCTGTTAACTAAAAGAACTTTTAATACAGAATTAATGACATCCACAGTGAAATCGACGAGAATTGTTGGTCTGATCAATATTAACTTAGAAGGAAAAATTTATGACAAATACACATATAGAGTGATAGAAAAATATAAAATATACATCAGATTAAAATTTATTATGCTATTAACATCATGATAAAACTTATAAGTATTGCAAACAACTTAGTGCATGCATCATACATGATATACAACTTACTACACAATCACAAACGAGATTTTAACAACCAGACTTGTAAGGAAACTCAAGTTTGATAGCAATTAAGTTGGCAATAGCTAAATTATTATAAATATATATTTTTAACTTCAAAATATGTTAATATTTTTCCTCAGGTTTTAATAAAGAAATTTAATTTAAATATTCTATTTCTAATGAAAAGTTCAAAATATTACTATATACTTAAATTACAGAATAGATAAGATATTATCTATTCTGTTGTTAAATAACAAAAACTAATTTATGTTTTTCTTTGGTACCAACTGATTTGTTATCAATTTGTTTTTTATTATTAAAGTATATCAATTTATGGTACATAATATATAATATTATTATTATTAAACACATGTTTATAATTTTATCCTTAAATAATGATAACGAAATCAGATAAACTGCTACTATTCAACGTTTAATTGAATTTTAATTTAAGTTTGTAGATTGTTAAATTTGATTTTTTTAAACAATTTAGTCCGTTAGTAGTCATAATAAATGACCTTTAATTATTTTCTGTTTTTAACTAACCAAAGTATTCATTCTTCAAATTGCTGTCTTTCACTTACTTTACTTTGGTAATTTTTTTAAATATTTATTATTATATTATTTTTTGTTAGAAAATGTCTTCAAACTCTAAAGAAATTAGATATATTCCTGCATGGATGAAAAATATAGATAATTATGTATGTAATATAATGTTAAAAACCTTTTGAAAATGTATGAAATATCTTAGTTTTATATAATAATGGTATTTTCTTTAGAAAGACCAAAAACTTGATGTAACCAACAACAAAAATGTTTTAAAATTTAATGGTATAACTAATTATGCCATTAACAATTGTCAAATAATGCAATTTGCCTCTGAAATATTGTGAGTTATTATTTAACTTGGAAAATATTTTTAAATAATTATAAATTAAAAGTTTAATATTTTTCACTTATTAATAATTAGTATGTTATAAATTTTCATGTAATTTTCCATGCAGAGAACAAGCCAAAAATACCAAAAAATGTTATGGTTATGACCAGGAGTGGCCAGTTAAATGGCCAAGTGGCAAATCAAAAAAAACAGCATTAATTCAAATATGTATTGATCACAATACTTGCTATTTATTTCATGTATGTAATTTTACATGGCCTGTTTTATTTTTATCAACTGATATATAAAAATTAATTTATAGATTTTTTTTTTTCAACTTAGATATATCACTTACAAATATTGCCAACTATCTTTATTAACCTTTTAAATCTTGAGAATATATCTTGGTGTGGTGTTAATATAAAAAAGTAATATAGTTTTATCTTTGAGTTCTATTGATCTAAACGATTTTTTATCCTTAGAATTATATAGTAAAATTATTTTTTCTTTCTAGTGATTTCATCAAATTGGGGAAAGATTTTAATATAAATTTAGAAATGGCAATAAATAATATCATTGACTTAGGCAGTTACCTAAACAATGTACTAAATTTTGAGCGACACCTTAGATGGAGTATGAATGACATAGTTCAATACTTAGTAAGATCTCAGTTACTTAAATTACATATGGTGTTCCATAATTATTTACTAATTATAAAAAAATTTAATTATTTAAAAAAATGATCTATTAAAATTAAACTTCATTTGATGTTTGTTTTCCCTACAAATAAAAGTCTCATACTGAATTACTTTCTTGTTATCGATTCAAATTAGATTTTAACACAATTATAAAGTTTGTATTAAAATAATTAATAATGAAAAATTTAAAAAAAATATTGGAATCTTAGCTATCCTAGTTAAATAATTATCATTATTAAATTAACCATAATTAATAATATTATAACTTAATTATTTTTTATTTATCTTTATATTATTTTAGTTAGTAAATATTCATGGAACATCAATTTATCTTGAAAAAAAAAATTTAATTTCTTTTCTTTCTAGTTAAAAAAAAGAGTTGATAAAAACAAAATTATTAGACTAAGTGATTGGGATACTCCTGATTTAAGTCCTAATCAAATTTCTTATGCCGCAACAGATGCTTATGTGAGTAATAGGCTTTATTTTAGAATAACTGTTCTCTGTAGTTATGTCACAGACTTAAATATTGTAATGATTTATTTTAAAATTCAATCAATCATTAATTAAAAATTTTAAGATTAAATTTGAATAATTATATTTAATTAATTCAAAGAAACTTGAATGATTTTAAAACATCAAATTGAAAGGGGAGAGAATATAATTTTTCTTAACACCATCACAAAAGTTAATCTTTTTTATAAAGTTTCCATTAAAGGTACTTGGTCTGTATTAAGGTGTGTTGAATCACAGAAACAAAAGGTCCAGAGGTGCTTGTCAATTAAACAACTATAAAATATAGTAAAATTATGAGCAAAAAAAGTATAATTATTTATAATTTTCCCCTTATTTCCTACTAAGTTAACTTAAATTTGAGATTGTCCCATCACATTCCCAAGCTCCCTTTTAAATACAAATTTTTATTATTCTTACATATATTGTAATTTTAACACATATTTAACATACATACAGTGTAATTGTTTAAGATTGACTCACAATATTATTAAAAATATGAAACATAATATATTTTTTTCTTTTCAAAAGGTTATCATATACTTTGTTCTATAATTTTCAAAAAAACGAATCTCCCTATAAAATTTTGTCACCTTCAGTTATTTAAATAGATACATATATATTTAATCAACTAACAAACTAAAATAATTATCTAAAAAAATGAATGATTCATAAAAACTTTTGGACTATTTTAAAAATATTAACATTTTTATAACAGGGTAGAAATATGTGGTTAATTAATGCCTAAATTAAACTCAACCTAGAGATAAAATAAATAGACATATTATTCCAGTCTCTATATTAAAGAGACTAATAACTTCTAAAATATTGATTTGGATAAAATTTGTTATTGATCAATCATTTTTTTAGGAAGTTAATTTTCTAGTTTGTAAGGTTAAACATAAATTACTATTTAAAATTATACATTAAAATTATATATTAAAATTATTAATTAAACTAAAGTTGATAACATTTAAAGTGGGAAGATAGAACAAATATATATATATATTTTTGAAGATTTTAAAACATAGAATACTATTAACTTCTATAAAAATAAATACTTTTATTTTATAATTCTAAAGATAGTGTTCATAGTCAAAGTAAAACAAAACCTTATATTTTTTTTTTTAAGTTTCAACTAACATGATATATATATATATATATATATATATTAGGGTAGATCAAAAAGAGTTGATCTTCGAAATTTTAACGAGAACCATTTTAACTTTATTGTATACATTAAAATAGGCATTTTGTGAAGATTTGAGATTTTAAAAATAATTTTACTGATCGCTTAATGTGTTTTCAGTATTTAAAACAAAATACCCCAAAAAACAAAAACAGCTTCTTTTATTTATTTTTTTATCAAATATTATAAGCATATAAATGGTTTAATTTTTACTGTAGAACACAAATTTTTTAATTTCAAAATGTTAAATCAAAAATTGATAATGTGGATATCATAATTAGTGTCATTATAAGAAGGAAAAAAGCATTCGCTAATCTTAATAACTTATACCTTTTTTAAAAATGAAGTGTTAGTTAAAATATATGATATTCTTGAAAATATTTTTAAATGACGGTTGATGATTAAATACTTTTCAATATTTTTTTTATCAAACATTCATTTATACAAAATATAATAAATAACATAAGAAAATAATTTTATGCCATGATAAAACTATATGTCAGTATAAATTTAATTACAAATTATGAAAAATCAGCAAATCTATGTGGAGTCACAAATTTACTTGATTTTAATAGTAATATTTTGAACTTGGTTATAACGAAAATTGTATTTAGTTTTCAGTAGGAAACGGGTCAATTAATACAAACAATGAGAAAAATAGAAACTCTTTTTAGTCTTAAAGTTTTTAAAATTGTGGCAAATATGCCGCCAGGCACATTACCATGTAACATTCATGGTCGAGCCAAGCAGAAAGTTAAGAGTTAAAAATTCTTACCTTTAATTTTCTTTGATAGGTATTTTAGTTTAACAATATGATAGAATTATGATAGAATATGAAAAATTTTTGTTATTACAATATTTTTTTATAATAAACCGTTCATCTGTTATTACTTTCCAAAGTTTAATAGTTATAGACTGATTTTGTATTGATAATTTGCTGTTTAAATTACAGTAGTTATCATTTTTTCTTACTATCATGTAACATGATTTTATTGACAATTCTTGTTATCCTATATTTTATTCTTGTATATTTATATCCTATTTGCTCAATTTTCATCTATTTAAAATGATTAAAGTCCAAAATTATATCACATTGAGAATATTACCCTCAAATTGTAAATAATTCTTCTCATTTTCCATAAATTGAAAAGCACCCAAAAAATTACTAATGTTGATAGTGAAAATTTCATTTTTCAACTTTGTGAAAAGTGTATAAATCAAAACAAAAATATTTTAAGAATATAATAGTCATATATTTTCCTTTAAACATATTTCTCAAAATATTATAAATTGCTTATTTTTAATGAAGATAGATTGAAGTTGCAATATGCATATACATAAATAACTATTTTAATTTGACTTTTGAAAATTTTCTGAAAATACTTTATTTTTTTAACATATATTTAACCCTATTGTACCAAAGAGGCATCTGTCATTACTAACTTCTTGAATTACTTTCAAATTATTCTCATAACATTTTTATTCTATTAAAAAATAGATAAAAAAAATATTTACAATATTGAAAACATTTTACCCCAGACTAATATGTTCAAATTATGCCTATTTCAATATATACAAATGAAAAACAACCTCTAATACAACTAAGAAAAAGAAAGGGCTTAGTTGCCTCCCTTAAATTTGAGTTAAAACTATTATAATTCATATATATATATTTTATATTGTTTAAAATTATTTTTTGCTTATATAATAACTTCGTTTTAAATAGAAGGGTTTATTTAGCCTTCCCAGCATTTATTTCTCAAAATGCCTTGAACTATAATAAAAAAATGTTTTAGGTTTCATTACTTATTTATGAACATATAAAAAGTTTGGAGTAAAAAAATGTCAACAAAAATAATTAAATTATTAAAACTTGGAAGGATGCGATATGACCCTTGTCTTCAATTACAAAATCAGCTTTCTGAGAAATTAAAAACCTGCAATTCTAATCACATTGGATATCTAGTCATTGTAGAACATGAACCAGTATATACTATAGGTATTCGAAAACAAAATTATAAACCTGATTTAGAAAAAAAATTAACTAAATTAGGCGCAGAATTCAAATATTCAAATCGTGGCGGTCTTATAACATTTCATGGACCTGGTCAATTAATAGCATATCCAATTATTAATCTAAAATACTTCAAATCTAGTGTACGTTGGTATGTTCAAAATTTAGAATATACTATATTAAACCTTTGTAAAGAAGAGTATAATCTCAATGCAAACACTTCATCAAATACTGGTGTTTGGATTGATAATGAAAAAATTTGTGCAATTGGAATAAGATGTACTCGGTACATAACTACACATGGACTAGCTTTGAACTGTAATACTGACTTATCATGGTTCAACCATATTGTTCCATGTGGATTACATGACAAAGGTGTTACTTCTCTAAGTTTACTTCTTAAAACTAATTTAAATGTTGATGATGTATTACCTTTATTTTTAAAACATTTTGGCAGAACATTTCAGTGCGATTTTGTTAGCAATAATATATAATTTGTTATCCTGTAAAAATGATAAATTTGTAAAAAATTATTGTGTTCTTTAAAATATTTTTTTATAGTACATTGTTATTAAATAGTTTTGGTTACTTATTTAGTGTAATATGTTAACTACAATATAATATATTGTTATTAAAAATTAATACATGTAAATTTTTAAAAAATATATACTTGTCTCTCAATAATTAAATTTAACCAAATAAAAAAAAAATCAAAATATATCTAACTCAAGTAAGATTTTGCATAAATTTACTTATCTATAATAAAACTTGTTTATAAATATTTTTTTAAAATTTATAGAATATAAAACTATCAAACAATAGATTCAAGTAATTTTAATTAATAATTCTACTTATCATACAAATTAATATGTACATACAAATTTAATTTATTAATAAATAGACACATTTTTATAATAGACATTTTTTTTTTAATTAGCAAAATAAGAAACTTACAATAATTATACAATTATATTAAATTATTTTATTAGTATTTTGTTCAAGGCTAATCACATAATTAGATTTGGGTTGGTATTTTGGGAAGACCGAATTCATCAACAGCTATTTCTCCAGGTTTACTAGGTTCTTTTTGTTCTGGTTCTTTATCTGGGACATTTACTTGATCTAGGTATGATGTATCGTCATCTAAAGTTAATTCATCTCCAAGTGCTTCCAATTCAGCATTTAATTCATCTTCATCTATGTCAGGAACACCATATGTTCGACCCAATGCTTCTTGAACCTCATTAGATTGATCTAACATTTCAGCCATTTCATCTTGTAAATCCTAAATTTAACATTATAGTATTATATATATATATTCAGTTCTAGCAATATTATTATTTTTTTTTTTTACTAATATGATTTTACTTACTTCTATATCATCAATGTTTATACTCTTAAATTCTTTTTTCATTTGTTTCATGCCTGTTTTCATTGCAACAACTGTAGACTGAGTATCTTTTAAAGATTGAACAGCATAAGATGCTTGTTCCATATTAAATGATTGATTTCTTAAATTTTCCGCTTGACTTTCATACCTGTCAATTGTAGTATTAATTATTTATATAATTTATCATATAAAATAAAAACCTTTATCCACAATAAATTTGTATAACAAATTTAATTATTATAAAAAATGTTTTACTGTTTTCGTTGTTTTAACACTCTTAATGCTTTTTGCTTGAGTGAATTTTTTGCTGGACCTTCTCTCATTTTCATCATTTGATCTTTCAACTTTTTCAACTCCTTATCAAGTCTATTGATTTTCTGTTCAATTGATTCAGCTCTATCATCAACCTAAATTATATTATGGTAAATAAATTTCTATAAAATTATCATAAAAATATAATTTCAATTTTTTTAAGAACACCAACTCAAAATTTGGCCATCATCAAACTTATTATCAGGAGCTGAACCAAAAAAGTTTTTGTTGATTCTTTTACTAAAATTATCTTATGTACATTTTTCTTTTATCATACAAAACAGTATTCCTGAGAATTTGCCATACAAAATGATATTATTTGTTTTAAATTATTAAGGATATTATTATCTTCATAGAAAACCAAGTAACTCAAAATTTTGTGACTTTATTTTTGACAAATATATACGTAGAATATTAAAAGTTATATCAAGCATTTTTGGAATAAAAAGTGTCTAGTTTGAGTTAAGATGATAGGGTTTTAAACAACTTTTTCCTTAGTTAAATAAAAATGGTACTTTATTTATTCCTTATGAATAAATTCAAAAAATTAGGGATGCATAGTTTTGCCATGGAATAACTAAGGGTCATAATAAATAACCCTTGATTATTTTAATTATTTTCTTTTTTTTTACCTAGCCAAAAAGATTATTTTATGTAAAATTATTGTGAAGTATTCTATTTTTTATTAATGTCAGATCTCTAGATTCATCACTAGGGCCATAGGTGGTACTTTAAATGTATGTAGGGGGGGGTTAAATGAATGAAGAATCTTCATTTTTCATATCATTACAAGTTAATAATACCAATTTTAATAATATTAGTTGTCAATAACAAGTTAAATTAATTGCCAATTAGGGTAGAAATTCTCTAAATATAATGTTATAGAATCACCTCTTGCTGAAAACGTATAAACAATAACAATATTGCAAATGTCTTGCAAAACCCTTGTAGCACTATATAAATTTTAACAAAGTAAAAGTTTTTACTTACTCCTTTAATGACAACTGTCATATCTGGCGCTGGAGCTTTATCTTTCGGTTTTCCAAATAAACGATTCATTTTTGTCAATTTTTTTTCAAAATTTAAATATAATTAGTTTTTTATCTTAAAAATTAAAATTATAAAATTTTAATTTATTATTATTTTTAAAGAAATTTGATAACATTCTATTATCAGGAAAATCAAAACTCTGATGTTTAAAATTGATAAGCTCTTAACATTAACCAATAATAAAAAGACAAACACGTACGTTAATGTGACGTCAACGACAGATGTATTTTATTTACTATCAACACATCGGCATTTTATGAAAATTGCGGCTACTTCTAAAAAATATTTTAGTTTATTCAATTGTTTCTTAGTATATTAAATGTTTTTTCCTACAACCACTTAACACCATTTAAAATGATCTCGTCAAGCACCAGATCTTTGGCTACATTTCTATTTTGGGTTTATCACATATCATTAATCAGTTCAATTGAATTAACATTTGAACTTGAAGACAAGGCAAAAGACTGTTATTATGAACACATTGAAAAAGATATTTCTACCACATTGGAATATCAGGTAGATCTCATTGCATTCTAATAGTTAGATAAAATTTTTTCTTATTGTTATTACTATTATGGATACACAGGTTGTAACTGGAGGGCAATACGATGTTGATGTTATAATTGAATCACCTTCTAAAGAAATACTTTACAGGCAAGTTAAATCTCAATTTGATAGTCATACATTTGTAGCACCTGTTTCTGGTCCTTATGCTATATGCTTCAGCAATGAATTTTCCACATTTTCTCATAAACTTGTCTACATGGATTTACAAGTTGGCGAGGAACCAGCTTTACCTGGAATAGGAGAACACATAACTGTAATGACTCAGGTATGTGTGGTCAATTTTGTCTAATAATTATGAATTTATATTTTTATTTTTTTACAGATGGAATCAACATCTCAAGAAATCCATGAATCATTAAATAAAATTATCGATCATCAAACTCACCACAGACTTAAAGAAGCTCAAAGTCGTAAACGAGCTGAAGATCTTAATTATCATGTAGCATTATGGTCGGCAGCTGAAACTATAGCTATATTAGTTGTAGCTTTTGGGCAAGTATTTTTGCTTAAACGTTTCTTCACAGAAAAAACACCATCTCAAATGCAATACAAGTCAATGTATTAATAACCATATATTTAAGTATTTTTTTTGTTGTGTACATTGTTTACCATTAAAATATTTTATAATTGTATTATACTTTAGGTTTTTTAATACATAGTATTCCTGAGTATGGGAGATAAACTTAAAGACATTTATTGTTTTATATTAATTAAAACTTCTATTTTATCTCAGAGTTTACAATAACTATTATATGGTTTTCGTGTAAATACTCAATGAATAATTTTTTGGTTTAATCATTATTATTAATATTTATTTTAAAAAATCTATATTTTGAATAAATTGGTAATAGAAAAAAACAGATACAACATTTTTTTATTATTTATGTATTAAATAAAGTTTTTAAATTACATGACTACACCTAAAAATTCTTATAAACTTCCGTTATTTCTTAATAAGATGTTTGATATGTGTAAAAAAAAACAGTATTCTCAGTGTAATTTGTGATAAATATATTAACTAAAATTTTAAAAATTATTCTCATTCTTTATTTTTATATACTAAATAATTATAAGTGTACTTAGTCTTAAATCCAGTGCTGACACAAGGATAAGCACAGGCACCGCACATAGCATTGACAAAATTAGTGTTTTGTTTTTGGGAAATGTACATAAGACAAAATTTTTATTTATCTCTCCAAACGAAAAAAAATTGTATTTTTACCAGGGGAATCTATCACACTTCAACTTCATTCCTACCAACACAGTGGTCCTGCCATTATAATTTGACATAGGCTCACAAAACCTAGCACTGGGGTACTAATCAAATCATAAAAATGTTTTTAATGCAGAAGAAAATGTATTTTTTACATAAAAGATACTTTTTCAACTTATGAAAATTATTCTATGAATCTTATAGTTATTATTTTCATTCATATTAAGAAATTAATCTGTTTATGATGTCAAACTAGTAAATAAATTTTAATGTTGGGTAATATATATTAAGAGATTTTGAAATAAACGATTTTTATTTTTCTTGAGATAATGAAATATTAAAAAAAGTATTTCCAATATAAGTTTTATGAAAATAGCGTTTTCTTTTTTTCTCATATAATTTCGAAAAATTGAGTTGCACGATTTTTGTTATATATTGTAAATCTGCCAATTTTTTTGGCAGACATGATTGAAAAAATTTATTTTTTTAAAAATTCCCTAAAAACAAAGTGATAACGCAAGAAAAAAAGGTATTTAGACATAAAACTTAAATATCAGATCTATAAAATTTGGATCGTGCATGTCCTAGAGGAGTAATAATCCTCCTTAATACACTTATGTTTTGTCACTAAGATGACAATACGGATTTGGTAACCAATTTATATGAAAAACCAAAAATTCTACTATTCATAAACGTTTTTTAAGTTTTATTTCAATTCTAACTTTTTTAAAAACTACATTTATGTTTTTGTCCCCCCTTTTAGTGTTTAAATTTTTATAAAATTATTCATAAGAAGTTTTAATTCTTCAGTAACAGGTGGGATAGTTCTCCAAAACAAAAATAATTTCATTATAATAATTCAATTTATTTTTATAAATGTTCCAATATTTTTCCAACGAAAACTACATTAAAATAGTTCACGAGTTCAATAAAAAAGTATTTTTCAGTACATCATAGATCAGCACATTTCATTAATCAAAGCAAAAGCGAAATAAAAACAAAAGTAAAGAAGAAAATCTGAATTTGATTTGACGAACAGACGTGACAATCAAAAACAAAGAAGCAAAAACGTAAAATCGCGGTAGACGCCGCGCCGGGCGTCTGGCTGTCCCGTCTTACGCCATCCACACTAACCGCCAATGACGCAATGACATCGTGTCCCTGAAGGAATCGGCCTTGAGACGTCATTGGCGGTTATGATGAAATAGCTGAGGGCGTATGGCGGCAGCTTTTGTAGCAAAGTATGCGCTGTACGAGTGTGGCGGCTGGTCGGCGCGGCGTCAGATACAGCGGCGTCACTGTCGGACTTTGAACGCGGCAAAAAGAATCTTTTCGTCGCGACTTTTGCATGGGAGTGCCCAGATTGTTGGCCGCAAAGGCGTCGACCGACTACATTTAAACACCATAGAACAGCCTCCGAGTGATAATTGATAGTATTAGAAAACTCCGAAAACGAGTATGGCCACCGAACATTAAAATTTCATAGTTTTTTTAAGTGATTTACTAAAGATTAACTTGTGCATCCTAATTTTTATTAACAGTTACTGATTTATTAAGTTATATAGTCCTGAAGAATTTCCGATTTTCTAGAAATTTCTTTTTAACTTTCAGTGTTTCCGATCGTGTCCAATTTTTGTATACGAGTTATTTTCGACAAAAGGTGTAATGAATCACTTTTTATTGTACAATATTAAGTATTCATTAATGACTAACTACACAACTCTCCAATCCGGTCCTGCAGTTTTTATTATACCAATATAAACCACCGTAATGTACACAAGCCACAACGGAAATAACAAAGCTGTAGACACTTGTTGATTTTAACCCCGTCGTTGTAATTTTAAAGCGGCAACTGTGTTATGTTTACGGTGTATACGTTTCACATTACTGTGTAAAATTAAATTACAAGAATTTCATAGTCAAAATCACTCGCACCTCAAACATTATTTAAATAAGTCTTTAATTATTGTAATTTACTTATCTGAAGTCAAAAGTGCACATAAACGCTATTTTTCAGAAAAATTTACATTTTATTTTAAATATTTATAAATACATAGAGCTATATCGTTCAATATTATTATTACTTTATTACAATTATATATAAATGTATTATTTTAACTCCAATCAAGTATACTTAATCTAAAATCATATGAACTAAAAAGTATTTGACAAAATATTTTGTCAAATACCTAATTCTTACATGTCCAAAATAAATGATTGAAGGAACTTATGTCTGATTTTTCATTGAGATCAGTCGTTTTAAAACAATTGATGATGATGATTTCGATTTGAATTTAATGAACTAAGAGGAATCACGACCGTCGTAGTACAGTTGCTTCCCGTCAAGTTTATAATTAAAGTACAGAACTATAGTCCCATGGACAATTTTTAAAAACTATGCAATGAATAAAATAATTAAAAAATTGATTAATTATTTTAACTATAAGTACTCTAGATATTATACAGGCAAGAAATTTTATCTGTTTTTACTGAAATCTCCACCCAAAGTCAACTCTTTATTAATTAAGTAAAATATTTTGCAATAGCGTAGAAAATAATAAACGTTTTCAGTCGTTTAAGTGCTACTATTAAGTTTGTTGTTATTAATAGCAGAGAAAATATGACAATACTACAAGAACGAACGGATTAATATGACAAACTTAAGTTTTATATAATCATAAGTTTACTTTATTAACATTGGATGACTTACACAGTCGTCGAATATGATTTCTGGACGACAAAATACGGTAACATTTGTTTGGGAACAAAACGGTCAGACGTTTTATGAGAAAAGGCTGTAGAAGAAAGTTTTTACCGGACGTCCACCGTGAAGAGGAACAGACGTCGCCGAGTATAAGAAAAACAAGGCCTCCTCCTTGCGGTCGTCCTACTGCAGGCGCCGTCCAACAAATGGCAACAATACTGTAATTAAACTCGGCGCCCCCGACTCCCGTTTTTAATATCCGGTTCGATTTCCACCGGTCGTCCCGTCGCGTAAAAAAAAATTATACCAACACTTGCCGTCTGCCTCGACAGTAATAATAATAATAATAATAACATTGCGCAATCACACACTTACAGAAAACAATGACTGTGTAATTTAATCGAAGTGGCGTCGACCGATTTATGCCGTCACCCTCTTTCTTTTTTCATACAAATACATCTATATAATATATATATACAAGAACATTAAACGTATAATATTCTCCCGCGTCGGACGTCGCGCGCGCCGCCACAACGGGGCGACGGCTGCATCGGTGGCGGCAATGACGGTGGCTGTCTCGGTGTCTTTTACACACACACACACCCGTCGCGTACCTCCTCCCTTAAATATCACACGCGTGTTCACTAGAATATACCATACTCGTAAAGGGATGGTGATGATGACGATGATGACGGCGGTGTCATTGCCATCGGTGGTGGTGCCATGTGCAGCGGCAGACTTAAAAGATGTCGGACGCCAAGGCTGAAAACGGCTCCACACCCTTACAACCTTATACAAAATCACACACACACAAACATTGAGTACATATTATTATACACTCACGTATACATTGAGCGCGCGACGAGACCGACGGCGGCTGTGGCGACGTCGGAGCTCGCGCGCGCGCCACCACGCCGGTCGCACGAAGACGTCCAGGCTAGCCGTACCGGCGGCAATGGACGGCGACGCCAACATCATTCTGTCGCCAATATTTCTATTATATACGTTCTTGTTCGTATGTATATTGATAATATTCATATACATTTATTATTATTAAATGTATACACGAGGATAACAGGAGAAAACATATGAAGCAGCATGTAGGCGATTTATACCGAAGAATTCTAAAAATAGTTAACTTTCGACTGAGATTAAGCTGTTACTAGACACTACCGGCGGTGTATACAGCATGGGGACGGGTGGCTCGTTTGCCTTTATTGTACCACGTCAAAAAAGTTGAATACGCTACAACAAATTTTATTTAATAACGATTATGCAAAGCATAATAACTTTTAATAGCAGTTAAAAATGTTTTTTCGACAAGATAACGACCGTCTTGTTTACTCGTTGGCGTGACGGCAAAATGGGAAGCCGGTTAAACAAATCGGAGCGAAAAATAGGACGTTATCGGTGCCTGGCAGTCGGTAAAAAACAGAAATAATCACACACACACATAAACATTGTACACATAAACAAACACAATACCGGATCGACGCCTCGACATACTGTCGCCCCTACACGGGGGCGCCTAACCACCGACAGCACAAAACATAAACATGAGCAATGGGTTCACAATAGTGGCAAGCAGTCAGGACGTATAAGAACGACTAAAATAAAAGGTACCGGTCCTCGCGGTAGACGTCTCATGTACACCGAACCCACAGGGTTATTGGCCCCTCACGATAAATACATTATCAAAGTTACCTCCCCGACAAGACGTCTGTATGTTCTACATAAATAGCAGTGAACTGGAAAGTATTGTTTTTCGTTTTCGATCCAGATAATATTAATGTTGAAAAATGAGAAATACTTTAAATAATTTCGTCAGACAACATAGTAATGTTGTCGTTTATAATATTCGTATTCAAAATCTCGAACTTAATAATATGTACGATAATATGAACTTAATAATATAAATATTATGATCCCTTGAGTATCTGTTGATGACCTCATCACGCGCACCCTTAGATTTGTCGCACGCGGATGGACTTGTACTTAGTAACACAAACGTTGCCATCCAATGAACTTGAGTAGGGAACAAAGTGTGTGTCTCTGTTAAAGTTCCCATATAGTTACCAATCCAAAAACTAATAGCAACAACTCAATTAAACATCAG